AAACGTTAACATGCCGTTGTGTTTTCTAGGACTTCATGCTGATCAAGGAGGACGAATGGGAGAACGCTCTACCAATTCTTCGAGACCACTTCAGTCTTACCGAAGGTGTTTTCGCGCCACTAACCGCGTGAGCAAATATTTATAATAAAAACTTAGCATTATGAAAAGGAGGCAATAATTTCAACTATTTTGACACCAAAAAAACTTTTGTATGCATTTGATATATATATTACGCTTGCAGTGCTTCGAAAACGTTGGCGGTGCTAAGCAGTTGCATCTCGAAGGGCACTTGTCCGTGTTCTGCCGCCGTACGAGCATGAGAAAGCGCCACATTTCCACTATTCGCCAGTTGCAACGACGCCAAAAAGAGTCGACACACTTCAAATTGACTTTTGCCATCCACCAGTGTCTCGAATGGCACAGTTTCAGTCTCTTCTTCTTCTGTTGCCAGTCTCGCGCGTTTGTTTTGGGCCTTTTTCGTAGTTTTTGTGTGCTTTTCAAGACTGGAATTCTTCTGTTCTTCTTCCAGACGACCGATAATTTCTCGGCCATACTGGTGAATATCAAACGGAGGGCGAGTATCCTGTTGCTTCAACAGCGGCGACAGCTTATCCTGCCAATCACTGACCTTTTTACTAAGGTCTGTCTCACGCACATACTTCTCGGTGCCCGACATGAAGGACGCCAAGTGTTGTCTGCAGATTTCCTCGTACGTTAGCGGCCCACCGGAAGTATCCACAGCCTCATAGGAGCTCATAGGGTCATCAAAATCACCTTGGTCCCAATCGCCATCAAATCCACCGTCATAGTCGTTATCTCCATTGCTATCCTCCTCTTCATTGTCATTCGCATCGTTCCGGAACGCCATATCCAGTCGAGCAGTAGCTGTTGACAGCGTCAAAGCCTGCATCTGATCGTTGTCTGCCTCCTCCTCTTCCATGGCCTGTTCACGCAGCAGCATAGCTTGAGCGCTCTGCTTCTCACGAGCTTCACAACGACGCATGATGCTTCTCCATTTCGCCTCCCGTTGCCACAATGCATCGCACGTTTTTACAAGCAAAGGAGCTTTGCAAAATGTGCGTTTGCAAGTCTTCTCGAGTGGATTTTCACTCGCTGTTTCGGACCAAACCCACGAAGCCCACTGCGGGCCGGTCGAGCTCATAAAGAAGCGGTCTTGGAACGCAGGATCCGACAATCCGTCTTGTTCTACTTCATCGTCCATTCCCACAGCGCCGTCCTTGTTGCTAAGAGCTGCAGGGCCAGTCTTCTTCTTCTTGTAAGCTGGAACACGAGGGTATGACCGACCTTTCTTGAATGGCCGAGCGACTGCAGTACTGGCGTCGTAAGCGTCCACAGGGGCCCAAGGATCCTTCTCAACTGTAGACAATGCAGTCACTGACCGTGTAGCAGGACGAGAGTCGGTAGTTTGCTCCAGTTGCTGCGTATTTTCCACTGTTTCGTCCATCGGAACGTCTTGTACAGGCTCTCCTGAATCATATTCATAGTCTGGTTGATCAACGAAGGCGTTTTCATGTTCGTCGTCGTCGTTGACATCCATATCGTCGAAATTCAATGTTGTGGCCGGATTCTCGCCATCTGCAGCGACCCACATGCCTCCTTGCCGTCCTGGAGTCTCTCCAAACGCAAGAGACTGGTCTCCAGCAGTGTATTGCCCTGGTTTTAGATATTTTTTACTCGCTTCGTCCAGCAGCAACACACCAGTTGAGTGTAAGTTGCACGACAGCAATTTAAACGTCTCTCCGTGGTCTCTCTCGTCCGGTACAAGCGACCCCATGAGCGCTATAGACGCCTGAATGTTGTTCTTGCTTTTGTTAAGAGCCTTAGCCTCTTTTCTCTTCCTCCGTCGGTCATTTTCGGTATCCTCGCCCTCCTCTTTCGCCCTCTTAAGTGTAATATGCGTCGACTTAGCCTCCTCCAACTCGTCATACAGCGGCAAAGGGTTATTAAACACACTAGCTTCTGCATCTTCGTCGTCCTCTTCGCCCTGCTCCTCTCCAGTGTCTCCATTCTGTTGGTTCTGCTGCTTATCGTCCGGTTTGGACAGATGTGCCAGTGTTTGATACACTAGAGCATGTAAATACTCGACTTTGCGACTGTAAATGACGCTCGTGCCCTGAATTAGCAGCGCTGCCTCTGCGAAATTCATGACGCCAGGTTCTTCTCCGTTCGCGATGCTAGCGCCGTCCTCGGGATCGAACGCAATGTTGAGGTTCTCGAGTTTGTCCATGTATTCCTCGAGTTCCGAGGCCAAATCGATGTTCCAATTCTTGCTCAAGTCCCTGGAGAGAGAAGAGGATGAAGAAGGGAGACGAGAGGGCGGAGAAGAAGGAGAACGTACCGGATGGGCTGCAGCAAGTGCTGCAGACGCCCCTCGCTCATGCCCGAAGATGCGTACGACTGGAGTTGCAGATAGCGGCGGGATAATTTGAATTCTGTCCTAACTTGTGTGGAACACACAATGACTGTTGACGAGGATTGTTTAAAACAACATAATAAAAACAATACAAAGCATTTTGCTTTCATTATGCG